CCCCCCCGCCGGGCCGGGGGGGGGGGGGGCCAGAGAGACCCCCCCCACCACGGGCTGACCCCACGGCCGGACTTCCTCCAGCCCTGCCCGCTCCCTGCCTGCGCCGCCTGCCCTTCCTGCCTGCCGGGACCGGGCAGCGCTTGTTCCCAGAGCAGCGCCTGTCAAAAATAGGAGGAGAGCTCTCTCTTGGGCCGATTTCCCCCTTTTTTTGTTAAAAATAATCTTCAAAAATTTAAAATAAGCAAGCAGCTGCCTGGCTCCAAAACGCTGCATTAATCCACTGGCAAAAAATTTATTTAGCCGACATATATTTTGCAGCTCGCGATTTAAGATGATTTCTGGCCAGCATACATTTAATGCAATATATGCAATATATTTCTGGCCAGCATATATCTAACGCCATATAAGGAGCTGGTCACAGGTTTCGGGGTCCACCTCACCCACATCACCGAGAGGGGATTTTCCATCTTGCCGCACGGCACCATCCTGTTTTATGCCTTCAAATATCCAGGCGTGGATGGAAGCGATGCACAGATGGAAAATTTTCCTTATTACAGGGGAGAAGCTGGAATTCAATCCACCAGCGGGTCCGGAGCCATCCCCATCCCCAGCACCTGGAGCCCCATCCCCAGCCACTGTGCCGGCAAGTTTCCCGGCCTGGCAAACAGCAGTTATTATTTGAGCGTGGATTTACTGATGTTTTTTACTGCCGTACCAACCCGCCGATCCCCTTCCCTGCAGGACAGACGGATGCCTAGACAGAGGGACAGCTGCAGAGCCCACCCTCCTTGGCACCTGTGGGATCCCCACCATCAAATGGGACTTTCAAAGGTGTGTGTTAAAAGCAGAGTTACCCTAAGGACTCGAAAAATAATAATAAAAAGAGATTCCCCTCGACATTTTCCTTCCTACCCAAAATAGATGGAAAATTGCTGTAAAAATAATCGCATTTTTTTAAAACCCCACAGCGACACAGGGCGTTTTTCCCAGGGGCCGTCCCGTTCTGGCACAGGGCTGGCCGCTTCCCAGGAGGAGCCCGTGCATCAGCAGCCGGTGGGCTGCTGGGCCCGGGGCCGGAT